ATTCAGCAGGTGAAGAATAAAAGTCATAATATGGTAGCCGGAACAATTCACAACAAACGGATCATTTTTCCACAACAATGGTAGACAATATCGACCAGGTGAGGAATTAGCCATATGTAGAACACTCGGCTATCTTTATTTGAAGACGTTTCCGCCAACAAATGGCTTTATCAGTTCAATACAGAGACGATATACGAAGACAGTGAAATATAAGGGGATCATTACCTTAGCCTTGGTGGCCTGGTGGTTAACGCTCTCGCTTCACACGGTGAGGGCCTGGGTTCGATTCCCAGCCAGAGTAGAAACATTGGACGTGTTTCTTTCCACCTGTTGTCTATGTTCCCCATCAGTAAAATGGGTACCTGGGTGTTAGTCGACTGGTGTGGGTCGCATCCTAGGACACTGACCTAAGGAGGCCTGGTCACAGACCGGGCCGCGGGGGCGTTGACCCCGGGAACTCTCTCCAGATAAACTCCCGAAGAAGACAATGAGAGGTGAGGTAGTCCCTCAGCCTAACACCTTGGCGAGCGTTTCAAAAAAAAAAAATGTCTCCACGACATAAACCTCAAAAGCAAAAGTCTACGATAAAAGTCTTGAACAAAAGCACCTAACCTAAGTTAACCTAACCTATCTGAACCTAGTCTAACGTAACTGAAGAGCACCATAGTCTTCAAGACTACTCTTCACCAACTCCAAGACCGAGGGACTGATTACCTAATCTTTTGTATATAATTTTGCATTCGTTACATTGTCTTCGTACTGTATTGATAAAGCCGCTGGCTGACAAAACTTCTACAAATAAAGATACCTAGGTGTTGCACATGTGTCTAATTCTTCATGTATCTCCATTCTTAGACAGTCATTCAGCTTGTGTGACACTGGGGAGTTGCTGCATGTAACAACCATACTCGCCCTCTTACTTGAGGGGGAATTAATAAGAGGAGTTCTTTGTGTTGGCTACAGCAAGTGAGGGGTATGTGTATAGTGGAGAGAGAGGGAGGGGACCAGGGCCTCGTGAGAGGAGGTCGGAGAATGGACTGAAGGCTAGACTGTAAGTTGGTGGTTTTGTGAGACACCGAAACTAGTGCAGAAGGATTCAGTGGAGATTTAAGGGTGGTTTAATTGTAAGTGTACCACTCTCAACAGCACGTTTAGTGATGTAAATGGTTTAGAAAAACCTACAAGTTGAAGAATAAGACACTTAAGAATATAAGAACATAAGAAAGAGGGAATACTGCAGCAGGCCTACTGACCCATGCGAAGCAGGTCCATGTTACCCTCCGGCTTAGCCCAATGTGGCCTAGTCAAGTCACTTCCACTTAAGGAAGGAACATGGCAACTGACCTAGTAGCACAAGCTAGTCAGGTCCAGCTCACACCCACCCACACCTACTCATGTATTTATCTAACATATTTTTAAAACTAAACAACGTTTTAGCCTTTATAACTGTACTCGGGAGTTTGTCCCACTCATCCACAACTCTTACCAAACCAGTGCTTTCCTATATCCTTCCTGAATCTGAATTTTTCCAACTTGAAACCATTAAATTTGGGAATCTTTACTATGGAAACACTATAAAGATTCCCAAATGTTGCACAAGAATCTTATTCTTCACTATGTGTATTATCCTCCTAGGTCTTTAAGTTCTTTAATAAATCGTCCCTATAGCACTGTATCATTTGTCATCCCAGTGACCCTGTTGACAGTGATACAGTTACAGTAAACAGTAACTGCATCATCTCAATACTCTCAGTGTCACTATAATAGATGGTTTTATTCACTTTTTTTTATATATTTCCTCAGAAATACCCCCAGTGATATTTCCTTTGATTATATTTATCTGTTAGGTAAATGGACACATAGAACAAATGGGACATTTTATTTTGGTAACGTATCGCTCTCCAGGATCTTTGTTAAGTCTTGTCACGACTCACGAAATCGTTATGACGCGATTGCAAACAAACCATACCACGGGTGGGGATAGAACCCGCGATCAGAGAGTTTCAAAAATCCAGACTCAGTGGCTTACCCGACGGTCTGGAGTTTTGGGACTCTCTGATCGCGGGTTCTATCCCCACCCGTGGTATGGCAAGTCTTGTCACACTAGTTGTATATGTGCTCATTTACCTAACATTCTGTCTGTAATTATTCCATTATTACTATATTTATCTGATGCGTAGAGTTTACAGGTGGAAAACTGGTATCGGCTGGGGAAGAGGCGCTTGTCACTTAACACTTAATCTACCAACCAGTAGATTAAGTGTTAAGTGACAAGTGCGCTGCAAAGAGTTGTCTATCAAGTGATGAAGAACGCTGCCGCAGGTGTGATAATACCAGCAAGGAGACTTTACTTCCTCTTTACCTCCTGATAAACATTTATCAACATTTAAACTCCACCTCAACAGCGCTGTAACGTGTGGAAAAATTATACCTGAAATACAAATATATGAAGCCTACAAGATAATCGGTCCCTCAGCCTGGAGGCTAAGGGACTGATTACCTCATACTAATCTTCCACTGTCTTTTTTTTGCATTGGACTGAAGAAGCCAATGGCTGGCGAAACGTTTCTAAAATAAATATGCCCAAGTGTTTTATCACCAAATATATGAAGGAATGCAATTTATTGCACTAATAACGAAAGTATGGGAGCACACAATGACTGATAAATTCTAACTTTTATGAGGTTTTTTGAAGTGGGATGTTATGATCTATTACATAAAGTCAGTTCCTGATCAGCCGGACTGTGGTGCATATGTTAGACTGCAGGTGGGGGGCACCAACAGCCTGATCGATCAGGCCAGTAACCATGAGGCCTGGTCTGGGACAGGGCCGTAGAGAAGTAACTACAGGAAACCTATAATTTAGGCCTCTACAGTTTACCTTTAAGCCTCCAATCCTCTGGTGGTCTACCCATGGCCAGGGGTCGATCCCTACGGTCTGTGTATATCGCCTCAAACCATACCACGGGCGGGATTGAACCCGCTGGACCACTGGACCGCGGGTTCAATCCCACCCGTGGTATGGTTTGTTTGCAATCGTGTCATTACGATTTCGTGCTGGACCTATCCAAGAGTTATTATTATTATTATTATTATTATTATTATTATTATTATTATTATTAATGTTCCTGAGGAAATGGCAAACCCAGCCTAACCTAGATTAACTTAACGTAGCCTGACTTAGCTTAACCTAACCTAGTTTAACATAACGTAGCCTAACTTACCTGACCTCACGGTAAACCCACGGGGGGTGACACAGCCAGAGGGTCAATATTTACTCATGATATTTGAGCCACCGCCACTCCGGGTAACTATCTTCATGTTTGCATTTTCCTTATCTTAATCGAGCAGAGGTAAGGAGGGTTTGTGCTCGGCAAATACCTCGCTCTACTAAAGTGATTACTTATCACAACACATGACTGACTGGCGCCAGTATATAATTGAGGGAAAGAGCTGTGTTTTGAATTATATTAGGGAGGGGGGGGGGTTAACTGGCACTATATATCCATAAAAATGGAAATAACGTGACAGGTGCAGTGTTAATTCTAGGCTCTCTTGATGTTAGGTTAGGTAAGGCTCGTTAGAAAACAGGACAAGCATTTCCTGATGCGGGTCTTAGTCATATGATGATCCGCAGCTGGAGCTTTTGGTCATGTGACAGAGGCCTTCCACTGGCTTACCCTTCCACCCCCTTCAAAAATTAAAGTTATAATTATAACCCCCCTTGATGTGTCGCCCATAATGAACTTTTATCAGATGGATTATTGAACCTGGTAGGTTAGTAACCCAGGATAATCCAGTGTTAGTAACCCAGGATAATCCAGTGTTAGTAACCCAGGATAATCCAGTGTTAGTAACCCAGGATAATCCAGTGTTAGTAACCCAGGATAATCCAGTGTTAGTAACCCAGGATAATCCAGTTAGTAACCCAGGATAATCCAGTGTTAGTAACCCAGGATAATCCAGTGTTAGTAACCCAGGATAATCCAGTGTTAGTAACCCAGGATAATCCATTGTTAGTAACCCAGGATAATCCAGTGTTAGTAACCCAGGATAATCCAAAGGACCCACAATAGCGTACTGACAAGTAATCCAGATTAGTAAGCGAAAAACTCAACGAAAGCCAATGGCTGTTTCGTTGAGTTTTTCGTAACGTAACACTACGTGATGTGGAAGGTCTTCGGTGTAATTGTATTATTCGTTGTACAGTTGTGATGTAAATGACTTATAAAATCGATAAGTTGAAGTATGACACTTAAGCAACATTTGAGAATCTGTACTGAGGAAACGTTTCGCTAGGCAGCGGCTTCTTCAGTCCAGTTATAGAGAAGAGCGGTGGAAGACGGGGGAGTGTGAAGTAATCAGTCCCTCAGCCTGAAGCCGACTCCATGCTAAGGAACTGAGTTCACAGATGTCAGAGAGTTAATACGTGCAAACTCGTGGCTTGGAATTGAGAATAAATTATCTGAGGCTTCGCCAAGTCTCTTAATTGAAATAAATCAGCAGAATATAGAAAATTATGCTGGAAATTGATTTTTCTCTGTTGAGGTCTCTGCATTGTCACCAGTGTAATGTATTATTTTGTGTATATGCACTAGTTATCAGCCAAGGAGATATTAATTGTAATGAGGTACTGGGAGCAAGAGAGGCGGCGATATTTGATTAAAGAATTAATGGTGTTCTCGACCAACAAGTGGAGGAGCATCTGACTTTAAAAATGGCGCGGGACCCTAAGGTCAAAGAACATAAATTCCTCTCAAACACAAAGTGCTTATATTTCTCCTATGTCTACGTGATATTTTTATTAAAGAATTTTTATAGAGAAGCATTTCTAAAATTCTTTAACTGTGAGAAAAGGGATTCATGGACGATGTAGAACCTTAAGGTTTCATTTGGTTTGAGGGGAACCAATAGGAGGGTGGGTTAGGCGTGACGTCAGCCAATGGGAGGGCGGCTTGGGCGTGACGTCACGAGCTTGGCTAGGAGGCGCGAGGCGGGCGTGGCCCAGGCGGTCAGTGTGTGTCGGGACGACGACGCGTACGTGTTACTCTTGCTGGCCCCTGTGAAGCCACTTGTTCTTTACGTTTTTAACTTTGTTAGTTTTTACAACCACATTTACGATGACGACGGAGACCGAAACGAAGGTGGTGGAGCAGACGGAGGAGAAGGAGGAAGTGAAAGAAGAGGTAAAGAAGGAGGCAGAGGCGAATAACGCAGAAGAGAAGTCAGACGACAAGGCGGAGAAGGCAGACAAAGAGAAGAAAGAGGAGGAGAAGAAGGAAGTGAAGGCCAAGAAGGAAGCTCCGCCGCCCAAACCGGCCGTTCATAAGCTGGACTTCGAGAAAGAAGTAGTGTACTTGTACCAGTTCACTCGGACGCCAGTCTTACCCTCACTCAGTCCTTACTGCCTCAAGGTCGAGACTTGGTTACGACTCGCTAACCTCAAGTACGAGGTAAGTCCAACCTCGACTACCTCTGGCGGAGTAAGGTTAAGGTTGACCAGGCGTGCGAGCACCTGCGTGTGGAACTGTAAGCTTGTGGGTGGTATTGGGAGGCTTGTGGGTAGTGGTTGAAGCTTGTGGGTGTGGAGGGCTGGCAGGTTGTAGTGGGTGTGGAGGACTGGCAGGTTGTAGTGGGAGGGAGGGCTGGCAGGTTGTAGTGGGAGGGAGGGCTGGCAGGTTGTAGTGGGAGGGAGGGCTGGCAGGTTGTAGTGGGAGGGAGGGCTGGCAGGTTGTAGTGGGAGGGAGGGCTGGCAGGTTGTAGTGGGAGGGAGGGCTGGCAGGTTGTAGTGGGAGGGAGGGCTGGCAGGTTGTAGTGGGAGGGAGGGCTGGCAGGTTGTAGTGGGAGGGGGGAGGGCTGGCAGGTTGTAGTGGGAGGGAGGGCTGGCAGGTTGTAGTGGGAGGGAGGGCTGGCAGGTTGTAGTGGGAGGGAGGGCTGGCAGGTCGTGGTGGGAGGGCTGGCAGGTTGTGGTGGGAGGGAGGGCTGGCAGGTTGTAGTGGGAGGGAGGGCTGGCAGGTCGTGTGGGGGAGGGGGGAAAGGGGTGGCAGGTTGTAGTGGGAGGGGGGGCTGGCAGGTTGTGGGGAGGGAGGGCTGGCAGGTTGTGGTGGGAGGGAGGGCTGGCAGGTTGTGTGGGAGGGAGGGCTGGCAGGTTGTAGTGGGAGGGAGGGCTGGCAGGTCGTGTTGGGGGAGGGGAGGGTGGCAGGCTCGTGTTGGGGAGGGAGGGCTGGCAGGTCGTGTTGAGGGAGGAAGGGTTGGCAGGTCATGTTGAGGGAGGGAGGGCTGGCAGGTCGTGTTGGGGAGGGCTGGCAGGTCGTGGTGGGGAGGGAGGCTGGCAGGTCGTGGTGGGGGAGGGAGGCTGGCAGGTCGTGGTGGGAGGAAGGGCTGGCAGGTCGTGTTGGGAGGGAGGGCTGGCAGGTGGGGTGTGTTGTGGATGGGTGGGCTGGCAGGGTGGGTGTTGGGGTGGGTGGCAGGGTGTGTGGGGGTGAGTGGGCTTGTTAGGTGGTTGTGTTGGGTAGGGCTGGCAGGTGGTGTGTGGTGGGGGGGTGGGTGGCTGAGTTGGGGGGTGGCTGGAGTTGTGTGGGGAGGGTGGGCTGGCAGGTGGTGTGTGTGGGGAGGGTGGGCTGGCAGGTGGTGTGTGTGGGGGGGGTGGGGCTTGTGGCAGGTGGTGTGTGTGGGGGGGGAGTGGGTGGGCGGGCTGGCAGGTGGTGTGTGTGGGGGGGTGAGTGGTGTGTGGAGTGGGTGGGCGGGCTGGAGGGGTGGTGGTGGTGTGTGGTGGGTGGGCTGACAGTGGTGGTGTGTAGAATGGGTGGGCTGGCAGGTGGTTGTGTGTGGTGTGGGTGGGCTGGCAGGTGGTGTGTGTGTGTGTGTGGAGTGGGTGGGCTGGCAGGTGTGTTGTTGTAGTGGGTGGGCTGGCAGGTGGTGTGTGTGGAGTGGGTGGGCTGGCAGGTGGTGTGTGTGAGTTGGGTGGGCTGGCAGGTGGTGTGTTGTGGAGTGGGTGGGCTGGCAGGTGGTGTGTGTGTGTGTGTGGAGTGGGTGGGCTGGCAGGTGGTGTGTGTGTGGAGTGGGTGGGCTGGCAGGTGGTGTGTGTGTGTGGAGTGGGTGGGCTGGCAGGTGGTGTGTGTGTGTGGAGTGGGTGGGCTGGCAGGTGGTGTGGTGTGTGTGGAGTGGGTGGGCTGGCAGGTGGTGTGTGTGTGTGGAGTGGGTGGGCTGGCAGGTGGTGTGTGTGGTGGAGTGGGTGGGCTGGCAGTGGTGTGTGTGTGTGGAGTGGGTGGGCTGGCAGGTGGTGGTGGTGTGGAGGTGGGTGGGGTGGAGGTGGGGAGTGTGTGTGGAGTGGGTGGGCTGGCAGGTGTGTGTGGTGAGTGGGTGGGCTGGCAGGTGGTGGTGTGTGGGTGTGGGTGGGCTGGCAGGTGGGTCGGTGTGTGGAGTGGGTGGGCTGGCAGGTGTGTGGTGAGTGGGTGGGCTGGCAGGTGTGTGGAGTGGGTGGGCTGGCAGGTGTGTGGAGTGGGTGGGCTGGCAGGTGTGTGGAGTGGGTGGGCTGGCAGGTGTGTGGAGTGGGTGGGCTGGCAGGTGTGTGGAGTGGGTGGGCTGGCAGGTGTGTGGAGTGGGTGGGCTGGCAGGTGTGTGGAGTGGGTGGGCTGGCAGGTGTGTGGAGTGGGTGGGCTGGCAGGTGTGTGGAGTGGGTGGGCTGGCAGGTGTGTGTGGGGTGGGTGGGCTGGCAGGTGTGTGGAGTGGGTGGGCTGGCAGGTGTGTGGAGTGGGTGGGCTGGCAGGTGTGTGGAGTGGGTGGGCTGGCAGGTGTGTGGAGTGGGTGGGCTGGCAGGTGTGTGGAGTGGGTGGGCTGGCAGGTGTGTGGAGTGGGTGGGCTGGCAGGTGTGTGGAGTGGGTGGGCTGGCAGGTGTGTGGAGTGGGTGGGCTGGCAGGTGTGTGGAGTGGGTGGGCTGGCAGGTGTGTGGAGTGGGTGGGCTGGCAGGTGTGTGGAGTGGGTGGGTGGCAGGTGTGTGGAGTGGGTGGGCTGGCAGGTGTGTGGAGTGGGTGGGCTGGCAGGTGTGTGGAGTGGGTGGGCTGGCAGGTGGTGTGGAGTGGGTGGGCTGGCAGGTGTGTGGAGTGGGTGGGCTGGCAGGTGGTTGTTGTGGAGTGGGTGGGCTGGCAGGTGTGTGTGGAGTGGGTGGGTGGTGGTGCGGTGTGTGGAGTGGGTGGGCTGGCAGGTGTGTGGAGTGGGTGGGCTGGCAGGTGGTGTGTGTGCTGTGGAGTGGGTGGGCTGGCAGGTGGTGTGTGTGTGTGAGTGGGTGGGCTGGCAGGGTGGTGTGTGGAGTGGGTGGCTGGCGTGGTGTGTGGGTGTGGTGGTGGTGTGTGTGTGGGAGTGGGTGGGCTGGCAGTGGTGGTGTGTGTGTGTGGGTGGTGGGCTGGCAGGTGGTGTGTGTGTGGAGTGGGTGGGCTGGCAGGTGGTGTGTGGAGTGGGTGGGCTGGCAGGTGGTGTGTTGGAGTGGGTGGGTGGCAGGTGGTGTGTGGAGTGGGTGGGGCTGGCAGTGTTGTGTGTGGTGTGGTGGGTGGAGTGTGTGTGTGTGTGTGTGTGTGTGGGTGGTGTGCGGTGTGTGTGTAGTGGGTGGGTGCAGTGGTGTGTGTGTGTGTGGGTGGGTGGGTGTGTGTGGAGTGGTGGGCTGCAGGTGGTGTGTGTGTGGTGGTGTGGGCTGGCAGGTGGTGTGTGTGTGGAGTGGGTGGGCTGGCAGGTGTGTGTGTGTGTGGAGTGGTGTGGGCTTGGCAGGTGGTGTGTGTGTGTGGAGTGGGTGGGTGAGGTGTGTGTGTGTGGAGTGGGTGGGCTGGCAGGTGGTGTGTGTGGAGTGGGTGGGCTGGCAGGTGGTGTGTGTGTGGAGTGGGTGGGCTGGCAGGTGGTGTGTGTGTGGAGTGGGTGGGCTGGCAGGTGGTGTGTGTGTGGAGTGGGTGGGTGGTCAGGTGGTGTGTGTGTGGAGTGGTGGGCTGGCAGGTGGTTGTGTGTGGAGTGGGTGGGCTGGCAGGTGTGTGTGTGTGTGTGGATGTGGGTGTGGCTGGCAGGTGGTGTGTGTGTGGAGTGGGTGGGCTGGCAGGTGGTGTGTGTGTGGAGTGGGTGGGCTGGCAGGTGGTGTGTGTGGAGTGGGTGGGCTGGCATGTGTGTGTGTGGAGTGGGTGGGCTGGCAGGTGGTGTGTGGAGTGGGTGGGCTGGCAGGTGGTGTGTGTGTGGAGTGGGTGGGCTGGCAGGTGGTGTGTGTGTGGGCTGGCAGGTTGTGTTGTGTGGTGGGTGCTGTGTGTGTGGGGGGGCTGGCAGGTGGTGTGTGTGTGGTGTGTGTGTGTGTGATGTGGGTGGGCTGGCAGGTGGTGTGTGGTGGTGGGTGTGGTGTGTGTGTGTGGGGCTGGCAGTGTGTGTGGTGTGGGTGAGTGTTGTGTGGGCTGGCAGGTGGTGTGTGGAGTGGTGGGCTGGCAGGTGTGTGTGTGGAGTGGGTGGGCTGGCAGGTGGTGTGTGGAGTGGGTGGGCTGGCAGGTGGTGTGTGGGGAGTGGGTGGGCTGGCAGGTGGTGTGTGTGGAGTGGGTGGGCTGGCAGGTGGTGTGTGGAGTGGTGGGCTGGCAGGTGGTGTGTGGAATGGGTGGGCTGGCAGGTGGTGTTGTGGAGTGGGTGGGCTGGCAGGTGGTTGTGTGTGGGAGTGGGTGGGCTGGAGGTGTGTGTGTGTGGAGTGGGTGGGCTGGCAGGTGGTGTGTGGAGTGGGTGGGCTGGCAGGTGGGTGTGTGTGGAGTGGGTGGGCTGGCAGGTGGTGTGTGTGGAGTGGGTGGGCTGGCAGGTGGTGTGTGTGGAGTGGGTGGGCTGGCAGGTGGTGTGTGTGGAGTGGGTGGGCTGGCAGGTGGTGTGTTGGAGTGGGTGGGCTGGCAGGTGGTGTTGTGTGGAGTGGGTGGGCTGGCAGGTGGTGTGTGTTGGAGTGGGTGGGCTGGCAGGTTGTGGTGTGTGGAGTGGGTGGGCTGGCAGGTGGTGTGTGTGGAGTGGGTGGGCTGGCAGGTGGTGTGTGTGGAGTGGGTGGGCTGGCAGGTGGTGTGTGTGGAGTGGGTGGGCTGGCAGGTGGTGTGTGTGAGTGGAGTGGGCTGGCAGGTGGTGTGTGTGGAGTGGGTGGGCTGGCAGGGTGGTGTGTGGTGAGTGGTGGGCTGGCAGGTGGTGTGTGTGTGTGTGTGGTAGTGTGTGTGTGTGTGTGTGGTGTGTGTGGGTGGGTGTGTGTGTGTGTGTGGTGGAGGGTGGGCTGGCAGGTGTGTGTGTGTGTGGAGTGGGTGGGCTGGCAGGTGGTGTGTGTGGAGTGGGTGGGCTGGCAGGTGGTGTGTTGTGGAGTGGGTGGCTGGCAGTGGTGTGTGTGTGGAGTGGGTGGGCTGGCAGGTGTGTGTGTGTGGTGGAGTGTGGTGGGCTGGCAGGTGGTGTGTGGATGTGTGTGGTGTGGCATGTGCAG